TAAAAAGCAAATTATTATTTACATGAGTCTTGGCTTAGATGTGAGGATTTACTATCTGGTATTAAATGTTTTGATACTAGACTAGCCCTATGTAGAAAAATACCAAGAAACAAAGCTACAATGGAAAACTAACTTGGTACAATAACAAGCAAACCAGTTTGGGGTTGGTATGTAAACATGCTGTTTTACTGTCATTAGTAGCTGTATTTGTATTTCATCTGGATTTTGCCAAATATCTGCTCAGTAAAGACCCCTCCTGGCCAGAAAACAAAAATATCTTTAGTAAATCTGCAGATTCCTCTTAAGGGAACAAATCTGCTGTATGATTAACATTTTGGATTAAAACTGTATTATTTCTGCTTGGTATTTATTACAATAACAAAAACTGTTAGTGAAGTAAAATAACATTCAGCTGTTCATACTTCATAATATAACATTATATAGCATTTTTTGTCCCCAGTATACTTATCAAATATTCATGAGAAAACTTGAAAATGGACTAGTATAATGTTTTAAAAGAAGGTTTTAAATAAATAAATAAGTGTGTCAGAGGAAGGAATTCAATGTTTTTCAGTTCTGATTGCACCAAAGAGTAATATTAGCATTTGCTGGAGAGAGAGAGAAGGAAAAAAAACAGGTTCTCTGCTGGTTCACTCTTGCTCTGTTTTGTGCAGCACACCATACGGGCTCCAAAGGCAGGAGTGATAAAAAAGGTTAATTTCCAGGAAGGTGCTCAGGCCAACAGACACGCTCCACTGGTGGAATTCATGGATGAAGAAGCTGAGTCAAAATAAAATTCAAGGAAGGTCCATTTCATTTTTTCTACTTTGGTGATTTTCTCCCAGGAGAAGACTTCTTTATATTTTCAGCAAACTGTTTTGTATGAGAGACTGGGGAATTGGTTTCCTCTGCACTTCCTGCATAGGTTGACTGTAAATTATGCTGACTTCAGTGGAATTTGGGTATCACTATCCTGTAATTGTATTTATAAGCTGTGGACCTGTGTGATTGTTGTTCAGTGGTTACATTTGCCTGTGGAAAGGCACTGGAGTGGAAAAAGATGTGGAACTCTCAAAGGATGGGAGAGGTTAGTAAGGACTGAAAGGGACAGACAGGTTGGGTTCTTCTGCTTCTTCATTCACAGCTGCCTTTTTCCCTGAGATTTGAGAAGACTGATTTGAAGGAAATCTGAAGGAAGACAATTGTTTTATGAATTCATTTTCTGGCAAAATCCCTGATTGTGGCTTATGTTTTTGCCTTAATAGGGAATTCAGGATTGTTCCTTAGCCCTGAATCCCTCTTGGTCATTTCTATTACATCTTTTTTTCCAATTTACCTCAATGAGTAGTGAAAATTTACATTTCAAAAATTATTTTAATTTACCTCAAAACATCTGATACAATGCATTTTTCAAATACATTTGCTACACTTATCGAAGTTGGAACATAAGTTGGTTTCTAAAAATATCATTTGAACTTTAAATATGAAGTAGTAACATAGAAAGATAAGCTTATTTATTACTTGGAAAGTGTGCCAAAATAAATTACTGACTTCAAAATCCTCATTACTGTTCCCGTATTGTTCATGTTCTTCTATGTTACTTATTGGCTGGAATGAAGTACATCAAAGTCTTTGTAAAAACATGAAATATTACTATGAATAATAGATTTTTTTTTTATCTGCAGGGTTTCAGAAGGGAAAATTGTTAGGTTTTTTGATATGCGAAGAAAATACTTGGACTAAGCATACTGATCATTTGCTATAGATTTATTTTAATTTATTTAAAAGCCCCTCAGAGAAACAGGAAAAGGGAAAGAAAACTATGTTTTAATTGTTGCAAACTTTGGATATATTTTTACCTTTCAGTCAATGTGATGTTCTGGTTGTCATGTGAAGTTTTGATATGCTAATTTAATTCAATAATATGGTCTATACTGCAGAAAGGAACACATCAGATGCTGCAGTGATCCCAAACTTGTAGTCAGATCTGTGCAAATGGATCCTCACACTTACCTGAAATCTCATTTCTGAATCAATATACAGCATCATGGGGAGTTCTCTGATCTGCTTCTATAATTGTGCAGCCTTGCCTGCAATGCAGAAAAACATAAAAAAGAATTGGCTCTGGATGGACTGTATATTAAAAGCATCCTGTAATACTTTTCAATGTTCCTTGTAATCCTGTGGCCACCTAACAAAAAATTCCAGTGATCATTTTGTAGAGTATTGCCACAGTGATTTTTATTTACTGCCAAATAAAAATTAAGCTTAACTTTGAATGTTTGTTTTTGTTTTTCTCCGTTTTGTTCCTTCCTTGGTTGTTTCTGTCCATGCATTACTTTAGAGGGTTTTAAGCAGCTGTTTCTGTAGCATCATCTGATGATGACCACAGTCTGCAGATCACATTTGGGAAGCAGAAATCCAGACAATTGTGATGGGGCTTCACTGCAGGTAAGGTTAGTGGCTTGTTTTATCTAGAAATTGGATCTACCTATAGAAACATGAGCCTGTGCAGCCTGGCATTTATTTTTTGCTCACTACATGACAGGGCTGTGTTTCTACACTGAATCTGTACCAAAACACTGAAGCTCACAGCATGAGGTTCTCTGCCCACTGAGGCTGCACAGCTTGTGCACACAGCCAGTGAAACAAGAACATGTTCCCTGGAAGCTGACAAAATGTCCTCCCTTAGGAACAAAGGGAGACAAATAATGTTACCAGTTTTCATTTTCCCTCACTTCTGAAAATTAGCTGTTAAGTTTTTATCTCTCTAGGTTTCTACTGAGATTGATTTTTCAAATAATGATGGTTGTGTTTATTTCAGTATAAAAGCTCTTGCAGAAATCACTGTCATAGTTTGCACACTTTAAATGTTTTATTGCAATGTGATTTAATTGAATTTAGAGATGCTCAAAGAATTACTAAAGTCAGGTTTTTCCTCTAACACAGAATTTACAAAATATTTAGAAATCCTTGGTTTATTACAAATAAATTTTTGTGTTATAAATGTGCATTGCTAAGAAGCACATGATAGAAATAGCTGTAACTAAACTGTTGTCTCTAGAACACTTAGTGGTAGATTAAGAAAAAAAAAAAAGTTATTGTTTAAAATCAGTATTTTAGTATTTGAGCTAAAAGGATCATCTCTGCCTGTAATTTGTTATCAGTATATCTTTTCAAATGGTGCTGCAGTTAGGAAAAAACAGTCATGGGTGTTCCACTAACAATGAATCTGAACTGATTCTAGTTGTAATGATTTTCTCTTGCTGCCATGGGAGAGAGGGGGCCGGGTCACAGAACACGTAGTTCAGCCCCAGTTGATAGTCCCCAGGGAAGAACAAGGGTGTTGGTGTTCACACTTGGCCTTCTGTGAGACAGAATCAGAGAGTAACACGCTCCATGAGCCCGCTGGTCAGCCTGTGGGATCAGGTGTGGATCATCCTGCCCAGCAGTGTGAATGTTACCAGACCAAAATGAGAGCCTTTGGTAAACCTCAGTTATCCCCTGTGGGATCTCCGTCTCTCTTGCACTCTCCAGTGGCTGCCAATTACTGTGGCTCATACCCAGGGAAGATCTGTGGTCTGGAGCCTGAATCCATGCTGGATCAGTGATTAGGACACAGGGAGTGGAAAGCAGGAGGGCAGGACTGTGTTCTTATTTCAGCCACTGATTCATGGTGGCTTCAGGTAAGTCACTTGGTAGATACTTGTGTTTCCTCTTATTTGATGAGGTTGATGGCAACCAAAACACTGCAAAATTTGTGAACAAAGTGATTTATAAATAATTTTCAATGCTTGTTGGTAAAGTTGTAATTCCAGTTGTAGGCAATTTCTACTTGTAGGTTGTTTTTTAAACTTTTATACAGCAAATATCAATACCAAAGTTATAAGGCTTCCAGTGTGTATTGTATCCCTTGTTGTAATGGTTGTACTAGGTATTTACTAGAAAATCTTTGCTTCTGTCTTCATGCTGAGTAAAAAACGAATATTGGAGTGTTTTTTGGCAGGACCTTTAAAATTTAGTCAATGGTAGGGAAAAACATCAGTTAATCTGGGAATACAACTCTTTTACTAAAACAAGCTGTACTATTTCAAAGGACATATCAACCAGTGCACTAACACAGGTATATTAGTTTCTGTTGATAATCCTTTTCAGTCAGATCAGGAGTTATTTGTCTGTGTTCTGTTTGTGAAACGCTGCACAGTGCTGTGTAGAATGTGTTTACTGTTTAATGTTATCTTAAAACCAGTTTATTTTAACATGGATTCATTGTATAATCAACATAGATTATCTGGTTGAATACTCCGTATTTTTTATTATAGGAGCAATAACTAAGTAAAACATGTCTGGAGTCCTGCTGGGTTTTAAAATTGTGATAGCAGGATTTTAGCTTTAATCTGTGTCCTGGTTTCAGCTGGGAGTTAACCTTCTTCCTGGTTGCTGGAACAGTGCTGTGTTTTGGATTCAGTGTGAGAATAATGTTGGTAACAAACTGCTGTTTTAGTTGTTGCTGAGTAGTGCTTAGTCTAAGGCAAGGACTTCTCAGTTTCCCATGCTCTGGAGCTGGGAAGGAGCACAGCCAGGACAGCTGACCCAAACTAGCCAAAGGGATATTCCATGCCACAGAACACCATGCCTAGTGTATTACTAGGAGAAGTTGTCCAGTTGCTGCTTGGGGATGGGCTGGGCATCAGTCAGTGGGGACTGAACACCTGTATTGAGCATCACTTGTCTGTCTTGAGTTTTATTTCTTGTGCTCTTTTTGTTGTCTTGCTTTTCATTAGAGTTGTTGTATTATTTATTCAATTTTATTTCAATTATTAAACTGCTCTTTTTCCCATTCTCCTCCCCATCCCAGTGGGAGGTGGTGGGTGGTGAACAAGCAGCTGCATGGTACAGAGGGGACCTTGTTGCTGGCTGGAGTTAAACTATGACAGTCCTTTTTGGCACCCAGTGTGGGGCACAAAGGGTGGAGATAACTACACATCTGACCAGAGCGTGTAAAACACATTTATTACAACCATTCATTATATTAATTTAATAGTCATTGGACACAATGTTGATTTGTTTGTTCTCAAGAGGTGTTGCTCTTGTTCTCAGGTTTGCGTCACTCAGTGCCTCGCTTGGTGTGTGTGTTCCCTTTGTGCTGTTTATCACCTCTGGGGGCTGGGCTAAGGTTGATTCTGTTGTACTTTGTAACACTGGCTTATGATATGATAAAATTGCTAATTGTGAAACAGAGAAAAACAATCACAAATGGAAGTTCTTCCAGGAAAGTTGCTGCTCCAGTGTCCAGTGGGCAGTTCCAAGACAGAGAGGAAGGGCTAATCTTACTCCTCTGATCCTATGGAAAGAAAGTCATCTTACTACCCTTACTTTTTATGTCTGCATTACTCCTGCAGTCTGCCTACCTCCCATACATGCAACTTAAAGTACTGTTTCATATATTAATACCAAAATATGTGCTCTGAATCGGGATGGCTTATTTTTATTAAGTAGAACATCTAAAGATGGCACATACAGAAAATCCCTAGGATAGGGAAATAAGTGTGTCTCAGTCTCCTCAATTCTTGGAATCACCTGTAATTCTTTGTAGTGAGAAGGGAAAGCTGCTTACAGTTCAAAGGTGTAGGTTTTAATCTTGAAGCTGTGATGGCACTGTCTGGATTACAGCTTGGGAAATTTCAGACCATTCTGGCTGCAAAGATCATACCTTGTTTTACAGAAGTTCTTAACTAAAAAATGTCTATATCTCATAAAAATCAACTAGCTATGTCTTACTGCCCTTCATTTCTTAATCCATATTACTTGAAATGCCTAGATTTTAGTATATGTATCTCAGTACTAATGAGTTAAAAAACAAAACCCAGAAGTCCTGCATTGTGTTGTCTTTTAGGTGTCCTGGAAAGTTTCAATTTATTCAGGCCTGCCAGGGTATGGTTGAGTACATGAGAAATGTTCAGACTTTCTTCAGCTCACTGACCTGACTTTCCTTCCTTTGTCACATTAATCTGTCCTGCTTCCTCCCAGAGACACTGTCATGTGGGACATGGCTCCTAATAGTGCCTTGGACTGGGTGTAGTAACTTGTTAACCTCTTGTGTAATGCAGGAAGCATGAAAAACTTAACAGAGGGTCAACACCCTTCCTTGCAACCTATTAATGATCTTCTGATATTGGTGGTGTCACTTTGCAGCTTAAATTGCTCAGACACCTACAGGAGGACTCACACTGTTTACTTCTTCTGTGCTTCTTTCAGAGCAGAAAAAAACCCATTATGGGCTGATACAAACATTCCATCTGTACCAGCTGAGCAGCACAACCGAGCAGACCATTGGGTCTGTACCTGTGGATGCCAAGGAACTTCATGCCTTTAGAGTGGCACTGAATCTCCTTGTGCAGGACAGTTCATGAGACTTTGTCCTCTTGGTTAAACATGTGGTCAATTTGCAAGCAAAGGGCAACAGTCATTTATGACTGTTCCATCAGTGTAAGATGAATTTGTGGTTTCACTTTCTAGTGCATAAAGTAGCTGACAAAAAGATGTGGGGGTTAGAAAGACATTTCCAGGCCAAGCTGTCCCAGGTTATTGTTACACTTCATAAAGCTTTGAGCCTCTTCCTCAGAAAGTGCTCTAAGTGGAAGTTCTCAGCAAGGAGATTACACTAAATAGATTCTACATTGACTGAACATGAGACTTGCTCGTCTGTCTGCTCGAGAGCTGAAGTCAGGGTAAAGCAGCTCAGTGTTATATTCAGAGTTATGCATTTGACACACTTGGATTTAAAAAAAGATCACTGCCTGGTTCTCCCAGGGTTCACATGAGATGATAAAACATCATTGGCTCACACAGCAAAACAAGGCAAGCGTGTCAGCCTTAAAATAAATTAAACAAGTCATCATGTTACTGTGATCACAGTGATTATGCTGCCTGCAGATTGCACAATGACTATTTCCTTCTACTCTGTATCACTGGGTGCACGTGTCATGTTTACAAGCAGCAGAGCTGTGTATCCCTGCTCTGACCTGGGGTTCATCCTGCAGGGAGCTGTACAAAGGGAACCTGGAACAAGCCCCATTCAGACACCTTACTCTGAATGTGAACAAATACACCTTTTGGCAGCCTCGTGGTGCCTCTTGCTTTGCAAAGCATCTGGTTTTGCTCAGAAACGCTGAGGGTGAGGTTCAGACAGCATACACATCACAGAAATGCAGATCTCCATCTACAGAGATACAGCCAGCCCGTGGGTGTGTGGATATGAGTGGAATTGGGGCAATCTGGCTGCGTCTGAAGTCTGTGCCTGCCTACTGCAGAGTGCCATGTATGGAGAAGGTAACTCAATCTAATCAGACTGGCTCAGGCTGAGGCACCAAACAGCCTGGCCATGGTGGCCAAGAGCTCTGGGCAAGTTAACTTCAGGTTCAGCAATTCAGACATACCCATGGAAGCACTCTGGAAATCAAGACAGAAGACTGCAGCTTCCACTAAAATCAGACACTAGACTTACAACTTAAATGGCAGTACGAAGCTACTCCTTTTCTCAGGTACAGTTTCATCTTATAAGTAAACTTAAATAGGGGAAAAAAACAACCAAAAAACAGTAGCATGCAGACTGGGAATAGCATCAATCTGCATTTCACATATTTTTTTATATTTCACCTTCATATCACTGAATCATCTTTTTATCATATTTTTATCTGCCCTGCTTAGAAGCAATTAAGTATGATTTTCCATACCTTTCACAATGGGAATTCATAATGCAGAGGGATTTAGTAAGTTAGGGCAATCAAATCACAAGTCAGTCAAAACACTAAACACAAACACAGTGTGCCCCCAGACACTCCAAAAACCCACCAAGAAACCCTGCAATACAGGAAAGGCTCACAGGCATTAGAGAAAAAACAAGCCACTTAAAAATCCTGCCTCTGTCCTGAGGACTCCACTGCAATCACAGCTCATCTCTCAGATTATTGTTACATGTCGCAATAATTTTCCAGAGTGTGTCTCCAGATCACAGGTGGGCTGTCACAGCACGTCAGAGTGATGGCAATTAGGTAACTTGACGAGATAGATTTTCAGGTTTGGCTTTGTCTCCCCTGCCGTGGTTCACGTGGACTGGGCTGGTGTGCAAGTGTTCGTGGCTGTTCACACAGGCCACTCTGCAAACATCCTCAATTTCAAAAACATGCTTTTTGGGAAGGTTCAAGGTATGCAGGCAACTACAGTCTCTCGGGATAGCTGAATTCACATATATTTCCAGACATAATATCCAGACAACTTTTAATTTTCCTGTTCAGAACAGCAGCACAACTGGACACTTCACAGGACAGGCCTGATTTTCCTCACCAAACATGATTTAACTCCTCACACTCCATCTAAGTTTTTCTTTGATTTTTAGCAAAGTAAGCAAGCAGCAAATTAGACCCTTTTCTATAAAAACAGACATATAAACCCTGAACATCTATGATGAGGAATGTCTTTTTGAAGTCTTAATTTCCTTCTAGTGTGTGCAGTCATACCAGTCATGTAATATAAATACAGAAGCTTACTTTAATAGCTCCCAGCTCAGCAGGAGATGAGAGAATAAGATCAGATCTCAAACCTTTGTCCTTCACAACAGCAGTTTGCCACCGCTGTGAGTTTTATCAGCAAATATTCTGCTTCCCCAAACTTCTTCAGCTGCCAAAAGCCTGCGGTAGGTAGAGTAAGCTTTCCTGGGAAACAAACAACTGTCTGGGATACTGGTACAAACTGTGATTTAACCACTGCAGCCTCTTTTGACAGTACATCTGTTTTACTGCAGAAGGGCTACTTCTGTCCACAGCCCCCAAAGGGGATCCCAGCCAGGAGCAGGGAAATCAGGAAAATCTTACAGGTGTGGAGGTGCTCCCGAACGAAGATGCCTGTAAAGCTGCTGCTCCGAGACCTCGCCTTCCCCAGGTCTCCGTGGCTGCTCCGCAAACGTCTTCTGCCTCCCTCGCGAATCCATCCTGGAAAACCCGAGGGATTTTCCCATCTCGCCCCTTTCCAAGTCCAGGCCCCCGGGAACAGCGGCCACGCCCCTGGAGCCCGGCGGGGCCGGCACAGGCGCTCACACTTGACCCTTAACTTTTGATATTGAAGAAATAAGAACATACAGGGAGCTTTCCCGACAGAACACCCGGTCCCGGTGT